TTTCAAAAAAGGTAAAATGTTGCTTGATGACAAACCTCATTCTGAACATCCATCACCTTCCTGAACAGACGAAAATGTCAACTCGTAGTGCATTTGGAGTTTGTTCCACCAGGTCAGACTGTAAGCTTTCCATTTAGAGGTTCTGAAAAGACTGCATAACAGTGTGTGACAAAAAAAACCTGATGTGTGGCAGATGGGGGACTGGTTTGCCACCACGACAATGCACCTGCTCACGCAGCCGTCTCAGTGTACCAGTTTTTGAAAAACACAGCATGCTTCTCACCCCTCACACCTTACTCACCTGTCCTCATCCCGTGTGACTTCACTTTGTTTCCGCGAATGCAGAGGGACATGAAAGGACAGCGATTTGACAAAGTAGAAGAGGTGAAGGAAAAAACCAGGGAGGTGCTGTCAGCCATCCAAACAGATGAGTTTGAAAAATGTTTCCAAGAATGGAATGGCAGATTTGACAGAAGTATTAAGTGTAATGGAGAGTACTTTAAGGGTGATAAAGTTGTTTTTTTAAAAATAAAAAATTTAAATATATAGCTTTGAAAAAAAATTTCCGGTGTTTTTTGGGTACCCCCTAGTGTATAGTGAAATGGTAAACAAAGTGTGGACTGGTTGATTCATTTAGATGTGGTATGCACTGAGTATGGTAACTGGTTTGCACACACAATTTACTCTTGGCTACTGACTGAAAGATGGGAGGTTCAAATCCATCCACGGCACCATGAAAGAAAGGCCTCGTAATCGGCTACCATAAGAAAGACCTGGTACCCACCAAGCCTTGAGGATGATATCCCTGCTCAGAGCAGCTAATGCACAGAGAGGATCACATGGCCGGCCCCACTACGAGACACAACATTCCTTACTGACCCATAATCCTCCGGGGGACAACACTGGAGACAGTGTGGGAACTGCACCCCATCTGACCCCACCACACCAAGGCAAAACACTAAGGGCATGCAACAGAACAGTAAGGGGAGGAGAGGAAGGAAGTCCCAAGGGACTACCAAAAATAGACTTTGGGGCCAGGGCTCCTAAAGGTCAATAAACAGACCTTGAACTATTTACAGGCTTTTCTCTTTTTTGTCATTGGTTTGTTGTTGTTGTT